CAGGCCAGAGGTGCGGGGGGTGAGAGTATTCACCAGAGACAGAGCAGGGAGCAGAACAGGCAGATCTACTGAAACACACTGCTGAGGGGAGCAGTGGGCAAGACAGGAGAGGTCTGCTGCGCCATGTGGGTAGTTCCCTGGCTGGCTGGGGGATCGAACTCATGCTACACAGGCTGCGGATGGCTTCATAGTGCTGTGCTCAACCCCTTGTGCCACTAGGGAAGCCTTGCTTGTTCTTATCTTGACTGGAGCCAACAACCCTTTTCTTACAGCTTTGATAAGTTCTGTTATGTCTGTAAACATATCTACTTCAGAGTTTCTTTCTGACAGTTCCACCCTGTGCATTTCTTGTGCATTTGCAGTGACTGCTCACTTAGCTCCAGTGCATGTTTCTTCCTGGAAGTGGTGGAAGTTTGGCTTGTGAACTTCAGTCAAAATATTTTTCTGTGCAAACTCTCTATGTCACAGGTTAGGAGTATATTCTTCTAGAAGTGATTTTCTTGTGTTTTCTTGTGCTCAGGGATTTATGAAGGTTTCAGGTGCAGTTCTCCATCTCACTCAAAGCTAAGACCTGCACCTATCCCTCTTGTCTCTGCTAAAATCAATCTATTGTAAACAACACCACCAACTTAGGTATAAATCTAATTAAACATGAAAAATATAAAACACTGATAAAAAAGTCAAAGAAGTCTTAAATAAGTTGAGAAAAATGCCAGTTCTTGGATTGGAAAATTTAATTAGGTGTCAATTTTTCCCAAACTGACCTATAGATTCAATGTAATCCTAAGCAAAACCTCTCCAAAAAACAGACATTTTTCTTTAGTGTGAAAGAACTTTAATGGACTTGTGTGCATAGAAAAAGAAGTGAACAAAGGATAGTATTTTCCCAATAAAACACCCAAAGTTCCCCATCCTCTCGTGTGTAAATGCCCAGCCAAGTAGGGTTAGCCCAAAGAGAGGCTGCTGAGCCCTAAAAATGTTCACACTTAAGGCACCTTCTAAGCAGGGCCTTATAGGAAAGGGGCAGAGGCACCAGGCAAGTTTGGGATCCAAGGAGAAAAATCAAGGTAATAGCTGCCATTGTCAGCCTCCCCACAGACTTGGGTTAGGCAATTTTTTAAAAATTGGAGTAACATAGCATTATAACATTAAACATTATATAAGATTCGGGTGTCTATCATTAAAAGTCAACATGCATATATCCTTCATAAAGTTTATCACTAAGAGGAAAAGTTGATAAACTAAGTCAAAATAAAAACCCTTTGCCATTGATGTAGGAGAATGAATAGACAAGCCCCAAAATGAGAGAAAATATTAGTGTCATTCAATTTATATCTAGACTTTGTAGAGACTTCTCAAAACTTACTAAGAAACAACCCAGTAACAAAAGGGCAAAAATCTTGACACTTAGTCAAGATATATAAATATGTACATGAAAAGATGCTCATTATTAGTATGAGGAAAATCAAACAAAAAGCACAATGGAATACCGGTGTACCTGTTAGAGTGTGTTAAAAAAAAACAAAAACAAAACAACAAATCAAAGCACTTGACAATGCCCAGTGCTGCGGAAGTTGTGGAGGACCTGCGAACTCTCATACATTGGGAGTATTGTTGCTGAAAAGGCAAATGGTACAGTGACTCTGGAAACAGTATGGCAGTTTGTTATAGAACTAAACATTTTCTTATCACACAGTCTAGCAAAATCCCACTCTTAAGGACTTGCCTAAGAGAAATAAAAATTTATAATAGCAGAAAAGTGTGTAACTGAATATTTATATTAGCTTTATTCATAATTGTTTCCCATTGGAAGCCATTCAAACATCGTTTACCTGGTATATGTCTAAACATTTGTGGTACACATTAAGTGATTAAAATGAACAAACTAGTGGTTTGTGGTGGTACAGATTTTACCACATGTAACAATATAGATGAATCTCAATACATGGTACCAAACATTAGAAGCCAGACTGGGGTCCATTCTGAAAAGGCAAAACTATGGGGAAATAAAATAAGTTGGTAGGTGTAAGCTGCCAACAGAGAAGCATGAGGGAACTTTAAGAGTGGTGGAATCATTCTAGGTGTTGCTTGTGGTGACAAAAGGACGGTATGTTATCTGTCAAAATTCGTTGAAAGGCATAACAATAAGAATATTTTATGTAAAGTTTTCCTCAATTGACCTGACACTTAAAAAAGATATCAAGCTCCATTTATGGAAATCTGCAGATCTGTCCCCTCCTTGAATCCTTGGAGAGTTCTAGCTGTGCAATTAATGAACAGTAGCATTTTTTGAATAAGAGATTTATGAGTGAAGTCTGGGATTCTGGGAATGGGCAAAAGCAAGCACATATGGTTATATTTTAAGAGGTGGCATGAAAATGAACTGGAGGGCACCCAGACTAGAAAGCCATGTTAGCTAGGAGAGCAGGTTCTGGAGTGAGCCTGCATTTGAATCTCATCTCTCATATTCTATTGTTATAACCTTGGATGTTACTTAACCTGTTTGTACCTCAACTTCCACCTGTGCAAAGAGAAGGATATTACATTTACCTTACAGTGTTGAGAATACAATTAATGCCTACAGAATACTTGGAATCGTGCTGCACATACAGTAAATGCTCAATTAATGTTAGCCATTATTTGTCATTTGCTCTTTCAGCACATCTTCCCTGAGTACCAATGTGGGGCTGGCCCTGGGGATTAGAATTTTGGGTACCTGGAATAGAATCATCTGAGGATGATGTGAGGTATAGGGAGAGAAGGAAACAGGTTGAGCAAACTGACAACACAGAGTGATAGGTGTTAATAATTGAGGGAAACACAACGATTATGGGGACACAGGAATTAGGGAGAATACTCTGCTGAGTGGGTGAAGGTGTTAATGATTGAGGGAAACACAATGATTATGGGGACACAGGAATTAGGGAGAATACTCTGCTGAGTGGGTGACAGGAGTTCATCCAAGAAAAACCCAAAGAAGAGGTAATTTTGACTGAGAATTTGAAAGATGAGTAGGAGTTTCTTGAGCAGTTCCCTGAATGCCTTGTGCACCTATCAAAGTTACAGAGTCTGGAAAATGTCGGAAGGGTCTTCTGGGGCAAAAGAAAACCATAACAAAAACAAAAACAGTAGGTGAGGCTGTAAAGGGAGTAGGGCTAGAACGAAGAACAAGTTCAGATACAATGAGGGTCAAGGAAGGATTTTAAACAGAGGCAGAAACATCATCAGACCTTTGCTTTGGAAGGATGACAGGTTGGCTGGTGTGGATGATGATGAAGTGGGAACATAAAAAGATTTCTTGATAGTCCTGGGGCTGGAGAATGGCAAAAGACAGAAGGGGGCAAATCTAGGTCTCAGAGGTGGCCAGTGGACATAAAGGGGTCAGAGAGTGGTTCGGTACTAGCAAGGACTAGAACTCACTATCTAATCATACTTTGATACTTTCTTTGTAGGCAGCACTGAGGACACAATGGTGAACAAGTCCCACCCCCAACCCATGAGGTTCCTTTTGGGACAAGAGTCTTGATAGTGTCATGAATGATCTCCAGGAGGGAAGGGTCATTTCACTCATATCTGAAGTGTAGTGGGAGGATTAGAGCCAATCTTCTGGCTGCTTCCAAGCCAATATTCCATGAGGACACAACAGTCATACATCACACCCTTTGAGGTTGTCATCAACTGTACAATGCAGAAAAGTTCCCTGGAGAAGACCAATGGAGGACACTCCAAAACCTGAATTCAACCTTCTCCCCAACCTCTATCCACTTTCCATCTTGTGAAGGTGATTCATGTGATAAGAGCCAGGAAGACTTGTTTTTCATGTTTTACTCAGATGAAGTCTGGGTTGGAGGAAGTTACTGTGATCGAAAAAGTCAGTATCTTAGTTTTACTTTTAGTGGGGAAAAGGTAGAAGGTAGTGTATTACAATTATCCTTAAAACCTAAGAACTCTAGAGCCTCATCAGAAACATGTCCCCGTGACACTGAAGACATGGTAGCATGACAGGACATTTGTGACCTCCCAGTCCCCAAGCTATGATTCCATTTATCTTATTAAAAATTTTAAAACATTTTATGCATCTCTTTACACAAGGCATGAAAATTCTTTCTGGAAGCAGGGGGGTTATAAACAACAAAATATCCCCCAAATGCATTAGGTGAGTTTGCAGACTTGTATTAGTTATCTGGAGGCTTATAGTTTCTGCTAGGATGACTTCCAGTTGGTTGTTATCAGAAAACCAGGGATGAACTTTGGAGCAGAGTTAACTTGTTTAGTCCATCTACAGGAAGGTGTTTTCTTCTCCCACCATCAATGATTGCCAATCAAAGAGTGATTTGCTTTGAAATTCCAAAGTAGGGTCTTTAATGTCACATTGCTAGGTTGTGAGTGATCACTGCATAAAGATAATCACAGGATCACACTTAATATTCTGATGGTTTTATTAACAAGTATATAATACATATTGCATATGGTATATAGTATGAGGACTGTACAGTACAAATTTATGTTCACAGTTCGACATGACAAAATGTCATTACTGAATTCCCATTGGACTACAGAGTAGAAACAGAGAAGGTACATTAAACATTCACATCTTTAGTTAGAAAGATTACCAAAATGTTCAGTATTTGCAAGTATACTAATGCATGCTAAAAACCTTTACCCATTCAGTCTTATTAGCTTATAAAATATATTACACTTTATTAAAAATTTCTGCATAGTTTATACAAGTATTAAAGTACTGTAAATGTAATAATCCTGCTATACTTGCAGGCATGGTTTAAGAGATGCTAAGCAGGAAGATTACTTTGACCCTCTAACACTAAGTACATAACAGCAAAAAAAAAAAAAAAAAGTGCTAGTATTTGTAAAACATTTTGTAGCCCTCGTTTAATGCATGTAAAATGGCTTTGTAAATGTATTCTTTTTATATGAATTTGCAATCATTTAGAAATTGTTAAACTTGACCAAGAAGAGAATAAAGACAAATCTGAACAATGTCATGTGTGACAGCAATTCCATCAAGATGACTGTATATTTTCAAACCAAATTTCTTTAAAACTTTACATCTTTGAGATTGTCTTTAAAACAATCTAATCAGGAATGATGTGCAGATAAACAGTATCAGCAATATAGTCTTTCAAATTCTGCATTAGTGCAACACTGATAGTGCAGATGGGTGTTTAATAAAATACACATATACATCTATAGTTCCCCTGTCAATCTGTTCCAAGGCTCTTGAAACTTCCGTGGATTTAGCATTTCCTTAGGTGAACATGGTACACTGCTAACACATTCTCCAAACCGATCGATTTAGAATGTTAATGCCCATTTGCGATGTAGATTCACATTCAGAACTCTAAGATATGATGGATTCAGATTTAATTTTGCTGACTTCTTCCCCAAGATGACACTTGAATATCATCACAGCAATTCTATAACAAACAGAATGTATACAACACTAACTTCATGTTTACAAGTCTTATCAATTTAAAATATTGCAATTAAAATCACCATTGATAATAACATGGCACATCATTAAAACCACATGTTTAAGGGCATCTTGTATTTGAGCTCTTCCACAATAACAGCTAAAAATGACTAATAGACTAAATTTCTCAACTATCATAGCAAAATACAAATGTGTATATATATATATAAGGAAAATTTGGTAAGAGCCAATTGCTAACTGAAGTATATAGACCAGACTGGAAATAGACAGTAGCCTCTGTGTGGGTTGTTTCTTTTAGTTAAAAGGGATATTCATTAATGAACTGTTAACAGGATCTAAGCAAACTGAATAATAGTGAGAGTCTTTGCAAGGCCTTGCTGCTTCTTTTGAACAAAATATAAATATGCCATAGCAAACACATCAAATTTTAAGAGAACTCATGAAGCTATTAACTGGACTCAAAGCTTATTCAAAGATCAATTCTATCCTTTCTTGCTTCCTTTCCCATCTTCTCTATGGGCTGGAACACACAAATGGGTCCTCTCCATCATAACAAAAAGCTCCTTGCATTCCGACTAAATTCTTCAGTGTGTTGTAGAAGAACCATTTCAAGAAATAAACACTTTGGCATGAATGTGACAAACATTTATAATACCGACAATGCCTACTTTTCCAAGAGCCAAATTTTATCCCTCAATTCATGTCATAGTCACCACAAAAAAAAAAAAAAAAAAAAAAAAAAGCCCAATTAGGATGTTTTAATATTCCAAACAAATTTTGCAGTCAGTGCTTAAAAAAAAATGAACCAAAACCAAGTGCCAAGATAACAAATCACTTTGCATTTCTCAACTCCATTTCCTTCAGTTGGTACAGAGGGCTGAGGGGTGGGACCTCTTGCGTGCAGTCCCTACAACTAACTTTTATTAACAATAGCGCCATCAAAGTGAGCTCCCCACACAATTTGCAGGCCTCCAGAATAATTCGTTCACTGATGGTTAAAAAAACAAACAATTAAGCAATGTATTCCTCCCAGTTAAGGTTGTGTTGGATCCTGAGTTGTGGCTGGGATGAATCTTCAGGATTCCAGTCTTCTCTCTTCTCCATCCTTCATCAAGGGGTGAAGGCGCATTTGGCTACATGCACCCACATTCGACCACCGATGCCCACTTTTAAATGTAGGACCAATGGCATTTCTATGCATGAATTATTTGTATTGGCATTTAGACCATGGTGCTCAAAAGCCTGCTTTTGAAAAACTTCCTACAAGTAATGGTGCTTTTTATCTTCAACATAAACACGAGTCATATTCAGTTTGTTCTTCTGAAAGGATACTTGATAGTGATGAGAGATCACTGCTTCAATAGTAAACATTAGGGAATTTTTGAGCTACATATAGGAATCCCTGAACTGTGGCTTTCTACATTGTTTAGCTATCTGTTCCCCCAAATAAAGGTATGTGTGCTTCACAACTAGTTATATTTACAGATAGTGTCACTCAGGTTTTGAACAGGATGAATCTACTAAAGCATTATCAGATGCTTACTTACACAGAGGACAGCCAATTTGGCACCTTCCAGCTCACACAGAAGAGTTTCTGTATAAAAGCTACGTGATTAATTTGGTAGGGGATTACAATCACCACTCAGCATTTTCCTCTTTGCAAAAAAGCTGTAAGGAGGTTGGCTTAGAGAAAAGCCATGTATAGTCTTATCCAGAAAGGTTTTGCCCACTCTGGGCAAATATTTTGGTGGTGTCCCTATCAGTGCTTGCTGATCCACATTAAGGACATTGCAGGAATGGAAATGGGTGCATGGATGAGCCCATCAGTGTCTGGCTTTGCTGTGAAGGTCTGTTTGGTGGAATATACATCGGGGCGGAAACTCTGGGAAAGCACTGTACAGCTAACTGAATGATGAAATCTCATGGAAGACTCCCAGCCGGGGAGGAATGGCAGACTTCCTATTCTTCCCCTGGGGCCTCCCTTGCTCAATACTCCCTCTCTTGACCACACGCTATGTGAATACGCCATCCATCCCTTCCACTGATAAACATCATCCACTTAAACCAGCAGCTTGGGTTCATCTCCCAGCAGTGGCAGAGACCTCCGTATTAGCTGCGGGCACAAGGGAGGAGAGAGGAAGTGATAAATCCAAGCTGACAAGCAAGATTTGTTTAGGGCAATGGAAGAGTTGACTGCATTACTGTGAAGTCTTGCCACACTGCCAGCTAACGTGTGAAAGGGTCCACCCTTCTCTTCACTGTCAAGCACAAAATGTGATCACAGAGCACAGAGGTCTGAAGGTCTCTGGCAAGGACTAGCAGGCTGGATACTGTACTTCTAATACACTTACTCTGACATTGTTTTGAGGAGTACATGGAGAAACTGACAATTGGTAATGTTACTTTACATGTTTCCTTGTTCTCATTACATTAAACGTATCTGTAAGAAGGGTTTGCTTAGCATCCCCGGAAAAAAAAATTGTTCACATTCTTTAGGTCTGACCCGTGGTAAGGAGAGGGAGGATTAGAAAATATCTACTACTGACCATATGGAAGTTTGAATGATATAAATTCAGAGATTCAGACCAGCTGAATCAAAATTAAAATGTACATGTAAAAAATGAGTTAGATCATGGGAGGGTGGACAGAGAGAGATCCGGGAGGCTGGGAGCCACACTGAGGCGGGAGATGGAGGCGTTCAGACTAGCATGTGGCGTTTCCTGTGGAGGGCGAGGTGGTCGGAACGGGAGAAGCTGCGGTCACAGTCTGGGCACTGGAAAGGTTTGATTCCAGTATGTTTTCGGAAATGTCTTGTGAGTTCATCAGACCGAGCAAACTTCCATGTGCATCCTTCCCATGTACATTTGTAGGGTTTTTCGCCTGCAGGAAAGGAAAAGAAGAGGTTAATTTTCTCTGCAAGCACAAGGATATTAAAGCGTAAAAGACAACATAGTTCAGATTTTTTGAGCTAAAGCTCCTGGCGTATATTATCTCTAAGATATGCGCATCCACTGTCCCTCTCCAATAACACAGTGTTTTATAACTACTCCAGGACAAGCAAGAAAAATGAGTTAGTCTTCTTAATATTTTAAATATTAATGTTTGACTGCCTTGCTGTCCGAAATCTGGGATGGGGAAATTTTCAGAGTTCTTAAAGCATAAAAGCATTAAATTATGAAGTCTCTATTAACTGAAATTTCTGTCAGGAATGTCAGCATCTCAATATCTTATCTTTTGGTTAGTCAATAACAATTATGCCTCTGTACAATGCTTTGATTCAGAAGCACTAAAAATAAAGCAGTATCTTCCCATCTTGTCAAGAAGCCAGGTTTCTACAACTCCCCCTGTGGGGTAATTGTAACTGGCAGATGAGCAACGGCAGACATTCACAGGGAAAGGCTAGGGAGCCAAGACGAAGACCCGTACAAAGAAAATGGTGGTTAATGGCAATCTTACATGCTTAAATTAGCAATAATGGATAATGGGTATCGCAAATTAATTTCCTTACTATCTCCTGTTCTCTAAAACCTCACAGAATTGCCATTCTTTGGCAGTCCTATGAGATATTTAAAATTTGCATTATCTGCTTTGCTACAATGGATATATATGCTAAGCAGTATTTCCTACATGTGAATTATCACCCAAGTAATCCACGTATTTTTAATCTTAGCTTGGAAGTTGGTAATATTCCCCTCCAGGGTTCCAATAAAACCTTGGGATGCTTTTATGAATCTGTCAGGCCGTGCTGATTGGGTGCTCTGCAATCACAAGACCAGTGCCTGCATCTCTCTCCGTGGTAACATTATGACAAAGTCAAAGAACTCTGTAGGCCGATATCCCCTCAGCTTCCTCTACCCAGGATTCACTTCTGCTCTGCCAGACACTTTCCTTTTCTCTTTTCTCTTCCAAATCCCAGACTGTCACCTCTCTAAATATTCCTAATAAGAATGACTCATGAGACAAAAAAAAAAAAAAAAAACAAACCTCCCCCCAAAACTACACTCTAAATTAAGAAAGAAAATGTATATTGAGGCAAGTGCTGTCGTACTAGAATTTTACATCGAAGAGTTTGATGTTAGGGCAGACACGATTTACTGTAAACCCGTCACTAATACTTCACAATTAATCAGGCTCTTTAAAACATTTCTGTATACCTGCCTTAAGAAGTTGTGCGACAGAATGTTCATAAGCACACATTTTCTGCTTTCTTCACCTATTTAACAACTTTCTGTAAGCTTTGGCTGCCTGCTATTCTGTACAAGCAAGATGGAAAATATCCTGGAACAAGTGTGGCAGCAAAGGCACAAAAATTCCCCCTCAACTTCAGAAGTCAGTAATTACCCAAATTTCTTCACTTTTTTAAATTCAGTGATAGTCTTCCATTTGAATTCCATTCCTAGCAACTGCCGTGCTTATTTGTTCTGCCTAATGAATTGTTTTTTTGCTACTGCGAATGTGATAATATATACCATTTATTAAATGAGTGCCTTTGTTTCATCAAAGTCAGCTCATGGTTAAGGGCACCTCCCCCTCTGTCCAGGGGTGGCTCCTTTCTTTCTCTCACACTTACTTCAGAGAGTACAGATTGTCACTGTTACAGAGAGAACCTTGAGATTTCATTATGATAACCCTTGAAAGCTAGAACATTTGTCCTTGACATTCCATTCTAATCCTTCTTAATAAAGATGGAGTCTGGTATTTGAAATACCTGTATGTGTTCGTCTGTGTGCTTTCAAGTGAGAACTTTTAGTGTACACTTTATTGCATCCATCATAATCACATCTGTGTATCCTCCGCTTCCTTTGGGTGTCTGGAGATTCCACAGGTAAAGGTCTCTTCCCAGGCTGCACTATGACGGAAGGGTGATTCCTATAAAGTCAATGTTAAATGCAAAATATTGAGTAAAAGGCGCCTCCTTTTCATCAGTCTACCAAAAGCATCAACAACACTGGGCAAAAACAAACAAACAAAAAAAAAAGCCAACAAAAGTAAAAAAAAAAAAACAAAAAACAAAAAGAAATGAGCTGATCAACCCAAGAAGCACTGCTATATTCATTCAACAAACATTTAGTGAGCACCTACCATGAGCCAGGCACTGTGCTTGGCACCGGGACACAAAGATGAATAAAAACAGGGTTCCTGCCCTCGAGGAGCTCACACTCTAGGGGGAGACAGACATGTAGATAAGTAATGACAGTAAGAAGGTTAGGTGCTTTGCTAGAGGTAGGTGCAAAGTGCTAGGAGAGTCTCTTTCCCTCAATAAAAATTAGCCTATTTATAGAAACTTGTTGCAATGCTGAGCACTCTACTAGACTGTTTTTTTTTTTTTTTAAATTTTTTCAGGCTGCCCTGATTTCCTTTTATTGTTCTTTGGTGGCAAATGTAAAGGGTTAAATTTCTAAGACCTGGGCAACCACATGATCTATCGGACAAACCTATTTTATTGACATTCCATTGGGATCGCTTAAAGATTGCCAATTTACATGTAATTTTCAAATGGTGGGATTCCCTCCTTCCGTGGCCCCACAAATGTTGGCACTGTTGTTTCCAAAAAGTCCAACTCTTACTGCTGGGAGAACTTGAGGCACCGCCAGCAGTCACGGGAGGAAGTCCCTTACCCACAGCCCAAGACCAGACTCCACAGGGCAGGGCCAGTCCCCCACAGCATCTGCATCTCCCCACCTTCCTAATTGTGGCTCAGCTGCCTTCTGTTCCTGTATCTGCACCCTTTTCTAGAGTGGATTTGAGATCAAATCATGTTAAGCATCTGTACTAAGAAATTCCTCTATTTCAGAAAAGAAGGCAGTGGGGACAATGGGCAGATGACGAGTCGGGCCACAGCTGTAGTTTTCTCAGGCTTTCCCTGCTGATGAATCAAGTAATTAAAAAGTTCTAACGCATTCATTCGCTTTCCTCATGACTAAGTACTTGATGCATTGTAAGTTCACGTGGTTGGCCTCCAACTATAAAGAATGATTTCTCCTTATTTTAAATTGGAGTCTAATAGCCTGACGGTGCTCCAAATGCTGAATGTACAAAGTTGGATGCTTTGTCCAAGTGTGTATGGGGAGAAAAAAGATTGGTGAAAAGGAGGAAAAGAATCTGATGAAGTTAAACACTCAAGCTTATAAGACAAAAAATGAAATTAGCCATAAAAATCAAAAGGAGTCCCTGGAATCCAGATTTGGATTTTTTTTTTTTTTATCGTGGTAAAAATTTAAAAGCATGTCCCTTATCTATAACATTTTTCTGGTATATTTATTTTAAATGACCTTATTTATTTCACACACCTTTATCACTGGTAAAGAAAACTGTCAGTTTTGGGTATCATTTTTACCTGTCTGACCCCATGCTGAGAGAGGATCTATATAGAAGAATAAAATAGCCTGGTTCAGATACATGGAAAAGTAACAGGGGTTAGGGGGAGGGGGGGAAACAAGGACTTAATTAAATATATACACAGAAACAAAAAGAAAATAAGGGCAGTTTTTATGAAGTCAAATTATTAATTTAAAAGTCTTGAATTGAAGGAAAAGAGCTGTCAGCTTCTTTTTAACTTTCAACTTTAATGCCATTGATTAAAATGTTTTATCTTCAGGAAATCAAATACTGGGGGGAAAAAACAGAATGGTTAAATGTATCTCGTATGTCCCTGGGCTATTGCAAGGGCACCCCAGATGGTGTTAGAAGTCCCCCTCAATTATTAGATTTTATGGGTTGGGAATGTGTCTAAGAGTTTCTCTGCAGTAATTATGACCACTTTTCCCAGTTGCTCATTTCATATATAAAGATACTCTAGAAGGCTGTGTGCACCAATGTTCAATCCTCTCAGTGCCTCAGCTTCCTCTCTGTAAAATGGAGATGATGAAAATATGATCTCAGAGATTACTGTGAGAACTATAGACAAAGCCCTTAAGAACAATCTCTTCCAGATGTAAAACTACTAGGTGGTAGCTGTTAATATTTCAAGGTTCAGAAACCTATTTGCACACTTTGCCTCCTATAGGTTAATTTCATGTGGGATGTCATAACAGCAGGTCAGGAGATGTTTCTTCCAATAAAGTCCATCTAACCTTGAAAGGTGGTATCATTCTGAGGGCAGCAGTCCCATCTCTAAAGGGCCAGGTGTGAGAACAGGCTGAGGCTATTTATAAGGATGTTGGGATCTCACCCTTTATGGTTTACTCACTGCTCATTTTTAGAGATTGTTTGGGATCATTACCACCAAGTAGTTACACTAGTTATTAATTATCAGATACCTGGCTTTGCATTAAGCCCCTGCCCCTCTTAGATTTGCTATAATTCACATGTATAACTAAATGGGGAAATGCGATCCTGAAGGTTTTTTTGTACTAAGTACATCTTCACCTATGTAAATACATAACACAAGGAATTTGAGAAATATTTGAGTACCATAAAAAAGCATTCTAAAACTATTAACTTTCTGATCAAGCAAATGGATTTCCAAGCTGTGTTTTAAGATCTGCCTCTGGAAAGGACGGAATTCCTAAGGCAAATATTATTGGGGCTGCCTCATCGCCATGGTTCTAGGGACTTGGTTTCAAGTGATTCTTTCCTGGCTAGTTGGTTTCCTATGTGGGCTGCAACTGGGCACACTCCAAGACATTACTTAATCACATCTGTGAGAGAATGACTTGCAAAGTACATGTCGTGGTTGTGGCTAATCTGCACAATTTTTTGCGAGGCAAAATGCAATCTTAGGTCAGCATTAAAACAAGCATATTACTCATTAATCATTAAAGCCATCAAGCTTGAGATCATCAAAAGAACATTACTTAAAATAAGAGAAAAAGTATTTTCTTTTCATCAGCATTCAGAGCACAGAATGCCTTCAAATTGCCTTCTGTAATGGTTTACACTAATTCACAGCAATCTAAACTTTGGAATAACCCTTTTCAGTCAGACAACTTCTCCCTACGTGGGCAGCTGACTTTATTTAGTTTTATAGCATCTTTCTCATCATCATTACAAGCGATGTTACCAGTTACCTTGCCAGAGACATGCCTGGCAAGCACAAAAAGAGAGCCAATCCAGTCTACCAGATGTGTCCATTTTACTTTCCCTTTTACCACGTACATGAGAAGATGCAATTGGTTAGCTATGGACAAGACAGCAAGAAGTGCACTCATCGGGTGAAGGGCCACAAGCCCAGTCCCCTCTCTGCTGTTACAAGTGGGATTGCAGGCGAATTATCTAATATTTGGCTAGTCAGCTATCTGCTGACTCCCACATGTGTGCTATGGGGATGAAATAATTCCTTTGAAAACTGAAAACACTTGGAAAAGTTTCATTTGAGGGGGAAGAAGGTACTATGCATTATGAAGGATAACATGCAACTCCACCAGACTTCCTCTCTCCCTGCTGACGTGGCTGGGTAAGATTCATTCTCTCCTACATCTATCAGGGAATATGACAACCCCTCTTCCCCCCCCCCCCATTAATACATGAGGCACTATAAATTGTGTTTAATACGGATACAACTAGAATGCATGTGCAATTCCAGAAGAGCTGTTTTAAAACAGATCATTTACATTTGGTCATGGAGTTGTGTAAGGAGGGATTTGCAGAACATTTGCTAAGTTGGAGAAAAGGTGATAGAGAAAGAAGATGGAACAGACCCTGGGGAGACAATATTTGTTGTCTTTGTACTGGAAACTGGCCACTAAATCCAATGATGAAAGCACCATAACACAAGACAATTACAGCAAGAGAAATAATTACAACAATAATGAAAATAAAGAGGCAATAGAGGCAGCAAGAATAAGTGATTAGCCCAAGGTCATATATTCAGTGGACAACAGAGCTGGGATCCAAAGGTCACTGCAAACACAGCCTCCAGTGTGGCCACTGGGACACATTGAGGAGCTCACTAGGGGCAGATTCCAGTCATGATGTGACACCATCACAGAGCGAGTCAGACCTAAAACAAAGTGCTGCTCAGTTGCTTGGTTGCTGGCCAATGCATGTAAGCTTCTTCCTGGATGGCAGTCCCAGAGCTCTGGACATTCTAGGGGCAGATATGATTAAGATGACCAGTCAGAAAGTAAAGAGCTCCTTCAATGCTGAGCTTTTTTTTTTTTTTTTTAAGATTTATTTATTTATACAAGATCTGGGGTACAGGCCAGAGGCACGAGAGGATAAGAATATTCACCAGAGACGGAGTGGGGAGCAGAACAGGCAGATGACTGAAAACACCGCTGAGGGAAGCAGCGGGTGAGACAGGAGAGGTCTGCCGCGCCATGTGGGTATCTCCCTGGCTGGCCAGGAATTGAACTGGCACTGCAGAGGCTGTGGACAGCTTCACAGTGCTGCGCTCAACCCACTGCACTACCAGGGAGGCCCAATGCTGAGCTTCTTAGAACAACAGGGGCAACATTCGTTGCTCCCAGTACTTCCAGACATTTTGGGGGGAGGGTCTTTCTTGGGACTGAAAGTTTTGATTAAATACATTTGCCAGCAGAGCAAGAGTTACTCTATTAGAAGAGACAACTGGAAGGACGATGTATCTCTACATGAAATAATTTCATGATCCAACCTTAAGTGGAATATCTAGAGCATCAAATTCAATCTACATTGGAATTAAAATTGCAGGGAAATGTAGTCTAGAGGGGTGACAAAAAATAAAGATAAAAATGACATAGTATATGGGGAGGTGGCAAAATGGGTGACCAATTCAATGAAAAGGTGACATAATTGTTGTCATCACGGCACCCACATAACAGCACGTAGTTTTTGGATTCTCCCAGCTTGCCCAGTAGCTGCCATTGCTGCTTGGGAGTTCACAACACACCACACATTGGAAGCTTGTGCTTCCGCCGCAGGCCCCAAGGTGTCCGTGGCCACACAAATACTGGGTAGACATAAATATATACTTACTCTTGCAACAGTGCTTGTGGGGGGGACACTGAGTTCATTAATGGGGGTGACATTTCTTCAGGATAATAATCTGTCCTCTGTGGTTCAATCCCAGGTTCTATTTTAATTTTTTTCTGTAATATAGGCTTCTCATATGATTCAATTACAGGAACTAAAAAAGAAAATATATAAAAATCACCCTGTGTACAATTAATTTACCACTTTCGGCTAAATACTTATTGCACAGTTTCTATTTATAATACTGTCATGTGAGTATTTAGTTGCCAGCAAGCAGCAGATATAGGAAGCTGGACATTTAAAACATGAGCTCCAAAATGGTTTTTCTTCATGACTTTTGATTATCTTCCTTTAACCCCGGAGTTCGCTTCCTAAAACCAGCCGATATACAAGGTGGCCTTTATTAATCATTAGTTATCACTATGGTCAAAAAGTATGTAAGTCAATAAAGCAAAATAAAAAGTCAAGATTCTTACTATCCCAAAGTTGACAATTATATAGTGAAAGGAATCAGCTCATGGCATTAAACAGACAGTCTGACTCCTGGGAGCTCTTCCAATATCAACACTTAAAAGAAAAAGGAAATGCCTCAGGCAGATTCTAAGACAAATACAGTATTTCCTTTTAAGAGAGTTCAACAGCTCTTGGCTCTCTGCTGCCTCTGCTCCCTCACCCAGACTGTGCAGGGAAGACACGGCAGATGCTGGATGACCAAGCAGCAGTGGTGCGATTTACCTTGCATGCTACTATTTGAGTTTTCCATCTCCTCTGACAAGGAGACCATGAGCGGCTGCTGGAGGTGACTGGTGTACATGAAGGGAACAGGCTGCACCACAACGGGCTGTATGACCGGCAGAATCCCCGGGCTCCGAATCCCGTGCCGGGACAGGGCAGCAGCCATCACCGGTGGCATGGACAGCGGGACCCCGAAGGGCTGCACGCCCGGGGGAGGAGGCGAGTACTTTTTCACCGGGGGGCTGGAGGAAGGCATGCTCAATCCAGGCGAGGCTCTCCGGTGCGAGGTCTGGAACTTCAGTGAGGAAGGAGAATTCCCAGCAGAGGGTGGTGAACTCCGCTTGTTGACGGTGAGGTCCACCGGCTCCATCTGCATCCCGTGCGCCAGGCCTTCCGGCGTCTGGAAAAACTTATCAGGTAACGGCGTGGAGTAGATGACGCCGTACTTGCTGGGCTTTATGGACTCCATGTAATTGGATGGGTACGACTGTTGGAAAGGAGAAAAAGTGTAGGTTACCTATCTGTGTTTGTTTGAAACACGCCTTAAGATGAAAATGTACAAGCTACTTTCGATTACGTGGACTTAACGACACTTGCTCCTTTAAAAAAAGGTCCTGGGAGAGCAAACATGAAAAAAATCTAATCATCTCAACTCTAAGATGATTCCTGTATCTAATGTCAAGGCTAAGGTTGAGACTGCAAGATTTAACAACAAGTTTAAGGGATATTATCATTAGGAGTTAGGGTGGGGGTTCACCAAGAATCAGTCAAGCCAGCTCACCTCACTACCTTTCTGATGGGAATTCTTCTTTTTGAAGAATTTAGTTTATGCCTCCCCCCCGCCCCCTGCCCACTGTATTCATTTAAAAAAAAACTTTAGAAAATAAAAGAATTAACTTGGCCATAATCTGATGAGGTTTCTTAATTGGCAAGAAATTCTCTTTAGCTTTGGTGTCTTTCACATCACAGAGAGGATATTGTTTCTCATGTTACACTTTCATATAATATGGAGAGATGGAGCTGCACGTCAGTGCTTTGGTCTAGTGGCTGAACAGTCCTGGTTTCAGCACTAAAAGAACCTACTACCCCCCAGGAACCTCCTCAGTCTCAGGCCAGCCAAGACGGTGAGTTGCCCCCACACACCTATCTCCTAAGGCAGATAATATTTCACACCAGGGTAATCATGTCCTTGGCTGCAACATATCAGAGGTCTTATTCACAGTTTGAATGAAGCTATAGATGACGACTTAATTTCCAAATTGTAGATGGCAGAACTGTAACAGGCAATATGACTGAAATAAGGACACGGGCTCAGAGTGACCTGCACATAAGCTGAGGCCAGCGCTTCCTCTGCATGTCCGCTCTCACTGCCCCATTGTAGGAAGATGCTGGAGGACAACCTGATAAGATGCTGAAGGTCAGAATCCATCTGCGTCCTTCCAGACCTAGGTTCTGCCCAAAAGCGACCTAAATTATCTCCCAGTACCTTTCTCATGCTCCAAGGATAATCACACTTTCAGCCACCTCTTTAAATAAATGGAAATGAGTTGTAATCACTGCATACTATGGATACTGCCTTTGGCCATGAAATTGACTGAAATTATTTCTATTCCTTAACTGAAATAAAAAACAAAAACAAAAACAAAAACAAAACACCAAACTTGGTGAATGCTTTTTCAGAAATTAAACTCATTCTAAGTCATTCTCTTTATTTGTAGGCATTTTAGGGAGACTGAAAGTTTTAATAAAATGTCAAGTCTGCCTACAGAAAATTACTTGAGTTTGGATGCTTTGCAATGAAATAAGCAATGTAAATGTGCCTCTCTTCAGCTCTAAAATCCTAAGCATTTGTAATTCTCAACAATACGGAACTCATGATACAACCAAGTAAACCCACCAATGGGGCCTTATAATAAACAGCTTCAATACTCTTACTTCACAGCCTCCCTTGCAATTTCAGTGGGCACACTTGTGGGTTATAAATAACTGTGGTGAAGCAGAGGTTGTTGCTGGGATTACCACAAGTCACACCTTTCCTCTGGGGGTCCACACTGTGTGAATTTCTATCTGGTCATGCATCATAATCTCCTGTGCTGTTTTAAAAAACCCAGAGGCTTGACCCTTTCTCTGGGCTGACTGAGACTTGGAGTACTGGGTGTAGGGAGGGCCAGACAGTATTTATTTTTATCTAGTCCTGATGTCAGTTTCTCAATGTTCAGGGTGTGTGTTTTGTTTTCAGTCTTTCCTTTCTTTACCCCTATTACTACAACCTGCATAACCCCCTACAGGAGTGACTCCTGCCAATGGGGATATGCCTCTCTAAAGTACTGCAGCTGCTTCTAGGTGGTCCTCGATGAACATACTGTGCTTTAAGAGTTATTTATTTCAATGTGTCATAATAAACTTTTATAGGAGTGCTATAAAGTTCCCTTTAAAAATGTACTTATGTTAAAAAAGCAATTCTGTAAAAGAGGGCAAGAAAATTACTAGTAAGAGATGAGAATACAGATGCTATGAGGCTAGGGCCAAACTTGTCAAGGTGGACTGAATCCCCACCTTCGAGGAGGTTGTGAGGTTATGATTGAGTCAGATTCAGGGAGATGACCCATGTAACCAGCTCAGTTCACACTGAGGTCCAGGGATCCCCTGTCCCTTTCATATACAAGAGACGGGCAATGTAACTGGCTTTGATCCTCCCACACAGGACTTCCCAAACCTCACCTGGGCACCTTGCTAAAATGCAGATTCTGAATTACTGAAGAATGGCCTCAAGTGCATAAATAACCCTTTGAATGGCCTGGTTCTCGGTGATATGGATACAGGTTAAAATAGGAATTTACAGTATTAAAATTTGGTGAGCTGATTAAATACATTTTTAAGGGAAGGCGTTTCGATAATGGTAATTGAGTTACAGATCAAAGATCAAACAAGACTAGTTCTACCTTTCTGTAGAACCAGGCACACACAGGTACACTACAAGAGGCCCAAAACCTATAGCCATAAATATATTTAATTTAAATATTAAATGAGGTTCAAGTCTCATGAATAAAAACATTATAAATCATGTACAGTGAATGAGGCTTAAGTAATCAAATACAGGAGAGAAAAAGAGCTCCATGTACTTCTAAAGTTTAATTTGCTGCGTGTAATTTTCTAAAGGGAAAAAGTTCTGGAATGAGAGGTGAAAAATCTTCAGGAAATAGGAGGCAGCATCAATTGTTTCTTCTTACCAAAATGTAGCTTCTTTCTAAAATCCTAAGCCCTATTCACCCAAGACCTTTCCATGACTTAGATTTTAATGCCAAGTTATTGGCAGTTAAATAGGAAGCAAAAAGAGAACATGTCTTTATTGCTGCCATTGTGGGCTTTGTCTGTCCATGGGGTGAGTTTAAGAAAAACAGGAATTAAAACTTGGGAGATTTGGAAATTTAATAATAGTCTCAGGTTTTTCAAGCCATAAAGAAAGAGACAACCACACATTTAAGCTAAGTTTTACAAACCTTATTCAGTTTTGCTGAAGAGTTTGCTTTCCAGTGAAAGTCTCCTCTAACCCCCACGTGCTGTTTTTGTAAAGTCACGGGGCTTGTGTAAGGACACACATTTGGACACACAGCTGAGTACACAACCATTTCCAGTCCGACTGCCTCACCAAAGGGTGAAGAAATGTGGTTTCTCAAATTGTCTCACTAGCAAATTTCACAGCATTGTTTACCAGAACCTTCTATAAGATGTGTTTACTTTAATTATTTGGGTGGAGCACACAACCGACTGCAATCAGCTTCCAACAATCAGGTTTTCCACCATGTAGGGACCAAGGCTGGGCTGGCTTCGGGTGTGTGCCTTGGGTGGGGACGCCCTGGTAATAGCTGCTTCCTTCAGGCCACTCCAATCTTCTAACAAGCAACGCAAATGCGTGTGGGCCATTGGCCGCACAGCCTGGTCAGAGGCAAGTGCTGATGAAGCTGAAAGAGCCAAGAGCAGCCTGGTCACTGGTGGACATCCTACAGGCCCTCCGGTTGACACTGCTTCCCCAGGAGGCCCTGAGCCCCGGGACAGAGCCCCCTGAAGAGCCCTGAGTGAGGGAGGGCAGAGGGCTTACTTTTCAGGAAGATCTGTCATTAAGAAAAGCTTTCCCTTTTCTGTAAAAATATATCCAAGTGCTCGTATCTCCACGATGGATGGAAGACGGGGACCTGGACTAAATGCTCAATAAATCTGTGATGAATCAATGAAGTGAATCAACACACACTCTGAGTTTTCAGTACCGACAAGACGAAGGATTGGAACCAATTCTTTTGATTTTTGAAAGATGACTTGAGAATTTCAGTAGTTTTTTGCTTTATTGGGGATAGTTTTGGTGAATTTTCCATTACAAGACAGCTGAAGTGGAGGCTGTGACTGTCTCATGAAACATGGACAAATCTTGATTTCACCAGTCACTAATGTGGGGGAAAAAGTGAGCATCGTGACAGGGCTGAGCAAGTTGAGGCATCTTCATCCAAGGGTGGGGTGGCAAGTGCAGGAGGGTGTGGTACTTCACAAACACTCTAGACACGGCAAATGTCCTGCCCCTCCATGCCAACCACAGTGAGTTCTCTTTCTACTGGGCTCAGGAAAATTTTTGTTAGAACAGAGCAGAGGAACTGCTGATTTTTATGATTTCTCAATCCGTAAGGAGGCTGCTGGACTAAAAAAGAAAGGACACACTTTCTTCAGAATTAATCTTCCTGTGGGACTAAGGCTAAGAAAGAATACTTTTAAAACATTTGTTACTTTTCTCACTTCCTAAATTAAATTCTTTAATTCTCAGCCTGAGTTGGAGAAGCGTATTGGCAAAAACACTCCTTGATGTGGACATTGTATATATACAACCTGTCTCGTGTTTTACAAGTTATAATCTCCAATTTTACAAATTAAAAATAGGGCACTGCTGGTGGTTTTGCCAACATGGCAGGTTGCAGGGACCCACCCCAGGCCTGGGTGGGGCGGCTTCCACATTCTCATCTAAAGCTTTACTGTTTGCTTCAGAGCACAAGGGTTAGCAGAGAAGGGGATGAAGACTTATCTTTCGCCAAGAGAAATGATATTTCCTCTCTAAACTACAGCAAAATACCAAGTAGGCAGACGGCCAGCTTCCACTGATGACTCCTTTTATTAAGGGGGGGGAGGTGGGTGGACAGATTAAGTTACTGTAAAATATTTTTATTTCTACATGGGATTAAAAACATCTCATGAATGTAGGAATACTGACTTAAATGGGCAACAGCTTCAGCCTTCAGTTCAAAGATTGAATTAAAAGAGATATAGCAAATTATTTTTAACACATTCCAACCATGAAGGCAGAAAAGATGCAATCAGAAGATTTCTTGTGGAAACGCAAGTTTTTTATTTAGTTTAGTTAAGCAAAATAATCACAACATCCTAATTTCCAGGAGTTTCATTCAGTGAACTGAGGATTTGCTGAATTAAGGGAGAAAACCTTCAATGTAAGGCCTGACACTAACTTCCGGTGAAAAGATCTCATTAAATTCTAGAAGCATTATTTGAATTTGAAAACTAGAGCATGAAGAAGAAAGACCATCAATTGCAAAACAAATTGTACATATTTGAACCTCATATATTAATATGTCACAGCATTACAAGCATAACTGTTACTTTTAATTTGTTTTGTTTCCATTTTTTTTCAGTTAAGTGCACTTCTTTGCACTTAATTGTATCATACTAACTTAGCAATGTGGATCTCCATTTTAACTTTCAATTAGGCTCCCAAGCCATATCTTCATGCTTGATTAAAAGCACTGAAAGTGCACAGAATAGTAAAAGGCATCACGGATGGGTCTGCATCATTTATGAAATTAATCACATTCTTGGGTACTAAAAACCTATTCAAATTTCAAGCATATAATTAATGGGGAAATTTTATACCTTAGTCTTCCCCCAATGTGATCATGCAACAGTAGGGTGAAAAAAGTTGCTGAAAATGAGAACAGTACGAATAACATTAAGAAGTCTAATTTGTTTTTCTGATTAATAAAATCTTACTGCTCATTTACTATCAAATTCAGACACTCCGTGATCCAGTTACCACGCTAGAATGTAAATGTTATTTTCTGAAAGCCACTGTGACTTAACTTTTCATTGTACACAGTGGTAAACACTGCACTGGCTTAGTAATATCCATGGCGACTCAGTTCCAAGAGCCTTGGAGTGACCCCTATGTCTTGTGCAAACATTTTTGGCTGGAATCTCCACAGCCAATGCGCAAGGATGATCTAATTTTGCAAGTGTGTCATTACCAATCTTTGGATACACAATTCAGGCCAAGATATCCCCCCTTGTGAATATTTTCCAAACCCATGGAAGAAAAGAGCAAGACCAAGGAGGAGTGTAGCCTTGTTATTAACATCCACTAAACCCTATCTTCTCCTGTTTCAACCACTCCCTGCTTTGAAGTCAGCCCCTTTCTGTGGTCGCCCCTATGCCACAGCTCTAGGGCTGTACCTATGTAAACACCTGGACTAACTACTAGTCCCCTGGTGCCCTAAAAGCATCTAGGGGGGGGCCTGGCTCACTGAAGGGCTAGTTTAGCATTTGGGTGATGAAAAAGACCACGAACATAACTCCCCCCCGCCCCCAGACTCTTCCAAGTGAAACAAAATTCCATCCTCACTGCCAAGTTTTCTCCATAGTTTCTCCTTAGTTGTCTCTCATATAGTCACAGGTTGACATGGCTGCTGTCATCAGTTTTTAGGCAATTCATTTTATTCCTACTGTATTTTTACAAAAGGGCAGTGGAGTTTCCCCCACCCCAGGTTTCATCTCTTTCTTGATCTCTTTCATCAGTTCCATGAGAGACAGCTTATATACTATGGGAAACATAACAAAGTATTTTTTTCTTCCAGTATTTAAAAAAATGGCATTCATTAATATTTTTAAAAAACTTTGATATAACTGGGGTGGTGATCTTTCTTGATGCAGATTGTAAAAATTGCTTCCTAACCATGATAAACATCACACACAGGTTTTTTAATGTCCCTAAGTGCACATTAATTAAAACAAATCAGACTGGCCAACTTTTTTGTGTGCCAAAACCAATAATCTTGAGAGGCCAAACTAAAAAAAGGAGCTTTTGTAAACCTGCCTCTGTTGTGACCAGATTCACCTGTGACCCAAGTTCTGTGCAAATCATACCTTGGGATGATGGGGGTGCAGGCAGGGTTTAAGGAAACATGGATTCCACTGATTTCACAGAGGCTAGGAGGGCATCACTGACTATGAGGGGCTCTGAGGAAAGTTTGCCTATCAAGGACTGAGTAATCTTAAGGAATAAAACACAGAAGAATGCTATTATCACTGGGGATGAAGCAGGTGTTCAATTTTGGAAAACTTACCACTGAGACAGGGTCCATGGCCTCTTGCTTGACAGGCACCGAGTCGAACATGAGCATTCTTTTAGGTAAGCTTTCTAGGGTGCTCTGGTGTATACTCTAGAAAACAAAACAAAGGTAACTTTAAATATAAAGTAGTAAAAGCAAAATATGAGATTCTTTACTCCTTCCCCTCAATCCCCGGAATGGCTGGAATGTTCCCTTACCTATGAAAGATGCCATTTTGTATAATTAAAACCAGACTCCATGGTCATAACCGGAGGAGAGTCCACCGGCATTTCTGACTCACATACATAAACCCTGATGCCGGAGACCAGCTCCAGCTAGAAATCGTGTCAGGGGTCTCCAAAAGGAGAGGACGGTGTCGGCCAAGTTTTCTGAACTATATGTACAACCCCTTCTGAGTTGCAAAGTTTGCTGTGCAACTCAACAAAAGAGGAATGTTAAATATCTTTCCTTATTTCTTTAAGTTTATTACAGAAAAATTAAGGGAAAAAACAAGACAAGCAAAAAGGAAAACCGAGAACCAACCACAATATATCTTTGCTTTAATACCTCCAAACCTCTTCTTATTGGGATTAGTGTACTCACTACAGTCTCCAAATGGGGCCACAGCATGCAGAGTGCATTATGGGTAGTATTTGGTACCCAAAAATTCACTTCACAATTTATTGGGAAAATGTTTCCTTTCCACAAGTACAGTTTCCTATCATCAAATTCTGTGCCACTGTGAGAATAGATCAGTTATTATTCATTTTTTAAATTAGGTATTTAGGTTGCTTCTAAATTTTCACCATCCCATAAAGCACTAAGCATCTTTATGTTTGACCTTCTCCTGCACATCCTTAATTAATTTTTAGGAAAAAATTTCTGATGAAAATTTCATAGGTGAAAAACATATACATTCTGATGTATGATCCAACAGAGATGCTCTATTAATTTCTATAAGCAAAACAGAACCCACTTCTCAACATTTCCACCAGCAATGAATATTATCACTTTAATAAAGGAAAACTGTGCTGACTGGTTTGTTATCAACATGGAAAATTATTTTCACTCTAAATTGATTTAATTAGCAAAGCTGGCTCCCCCATATTTACCATTTACATTCTTCTCTTGAGAAATGCCTATTCAGACTTTAAACTCACCCCCAACTTCTTATTGTTTTCTAAACACTTTTTATTTGTGAAAAATATCCGCTTGCATTCATTCTAATTGCACCTTATTAGGAAACAAATCAATCTTAAGGAAACCATCTTGATTTTGTCCAGTCCCTCTCTTTCTTTTTATTGTTCTGCTCCTGTTATTCCTTCATTTTCTTTTGTGTTTTTTACTAGCTACTTCCAGCACTGAACTATATCAAGCCAACTGCTTTTTCACAGGACAAAATGTTCAGTCTGCTCCATGTTCAATTACAGAATCAGTGCCTGGATTCTTTAATAACCGGCTTCAGAAACCTACTATCCAAATTTGTTTTAAATGTTCAGCACTTTGGCTAAAGACCAAAGTCTTTGTGGACTGCTTGGGTTTGGGTGGGAAAATGAACAAGTTCTAGGTTAAGTTCCAGCTGAAAAAGATGCACAAATACCTGGTCTAGAGTGCTTCCTGTATTTTAGTATTAGAACTCTCCTTCCCCACCTCCATTATAGCAATGGCATAGTTTGTTGTGTCCTTCTTCTATCAGTTATACCTTCAAATAATATTATGCAAGTAATATTGTGTTCTTGTTCTTCATTGCTTTGTTGGAGAAAGCCTGTTCTGGGGTCTCATGACAACACGTGAGTATCATCATTAACTCAACATAAGGTCCTGACTTCTAAATTATATTTCCCTACATCACAGGATGTATTATAATCTGGGAACACAATCTGCTATCAGCCTGCTCAAATCAATGGTGCTACTACTGTCCTATGTATCCCACCAAGAACAAACCCCAACAACCAGTGAAAAATGGATGATTTTCATAATGAAGAATGAAAACCCCTTTTGTGTCTTGGGATGTACTATTAACCATTTCTCAGCCTGGCAGCTGTATGGATGGACATGGGTCTAAGAATTGCTGTGTGCCCCCTACTCCCTTACTAGAGCAGACTGTCAACAAAAGAAGTGAAATTGCCTGCTTAATATCACTGAGGTCAGATAGTTCAGCAGCCTTGACCTATGGCTGGCTGCCTCTCTCCCAAGTTTTTTAAATTGAATTTACTCTTCAGATTCAACAATCTACTGGACAGTGTCTCGATGCATCCTTCTAAATGAAAGCACTGATGTTCTCAAGTGGCTAGGACAGAGCCCTAGTTGAGATACCAGTAGCAGGAGACCTGCATTCTAGCCTTGCCCTGTGGCAAAAGTTTCACATGTAAAATGCAGATGACACCTCCCTTACCTACTTCCTAAATGTTTGAGGAAGATCAAAGGAGATTTAAAAAAGAACCAATTTTTACCCTGTAAATCATTTATACCAACAAACACACACACAACTTTTGGTTATGCATCATGCACAAAAAGCATTAAATTTGTCATTTATACCTCATGGACTTTTGCTAAACATGCCTAGCCTTAGAGGTGAACCTCCACACTTCCCTTCAAAAAAGACTCCAAGTTCAGTCTAACAGTTAAGAGCTGCCCTGGCACTGCCACCTAGCACTGCCCACCTCCTAGCAATGTGCTCCCTTTACCGTGCTCCCTTTACTGCCAGCAAGAGCAGCACAGTGGAATTAACACCATGGGCTCCGCAGTTCATTTTGGTTCAAATCTAAAATCCCACCATTCAGTTCACAAAGCCTTCAAAAACCTTTTCCAATGCCTATTAGCATAGAATACCATCCACAAGGACTACTGACTCCAGTTAGATGAATCACATGCAACCTGCTTATCTTTGATCATTTCAAGACATTATTTAAATCACTTTCATTCTTTAGTTTTTATGTTTTATCTAAATTTAAAGGAACTTAGTGATTTGCACAACTTGTAGTCAATACAGAAAAAGTAGTCTATTACACTGAGTTCATCCTAATGAAACCTGACTCATTTTTATTAAAAAAGAATTGTAAAGGTACACTTTATTTGTTCACACCTGCTCCTCAAGCATTGCTATTTCTCATTAAGTATTTCAGCTAATAAATAATGGTAGAATTACAGTACTTCATTTTGAAACTTTAAACAATGCATCACTGGACAATAAAAAAGTGTGCAAAATTTAAATATTACCATGAATAGGCATAAACTCACTGTCCATTCACATGTCTAACAGCCCTTTGTTCTTAATTTGGTAGCCTCTAAAATGACTGGGTGAGGATCCTTCTAGAGATAGTCAGAGGATATGGGACAAAGAAAATGAAGGACACACAAAGAAAATGACATGCCCTGAACAGTTCACAAGAGCTTCTTGGGAGAGTCGCTGGGGATGGGGCATTACACCCATGGTGTGCTAATTTTTTAAATTATAATTCCTATAATTAAAACTCCTAATAAAAACAAGAGAGGGGAAGCTAAGCTACAGAGGAGTCAAATTAAGGAAGAAAATCAAACACAAACACAAATCAGGCTTTTGTTTATTTGGTTTCAGGAGACCTCCACACTCTGTACCTAGTGTGCCTATCTCTGAACAGACCACTTTGCCATTGGCATTGACTTCGTCCATGGGTTTTTGGTCAATCAGAAAAGAGTGACTATCATGTTTCCAAAGTGTCTTTTTCTGTAACTGAGAGGTAACTTATACACTGGAAGATTTAGGGTCCCTAAACTGAATAGCATCTCAGCTTTGGGGCTGTTACCATCATTTTAAAGAATGCAAAATAAACTACAACTGCTGTAAAGAACGAGTTACACAATGGGTTACACAGCGCAATCTCAAGTAAAGCCAGTAGGTGGCACACTAAAACAGGTATTAGTGACTAAGAAAGCCAGTAAGTTGAGTTTGCCAGCACCAGGGTCTTTGAACCTAGTGGGTTTTCACCACCCTCAGGAATTCTGTTAACCATTTTATGTGGGTATCACAGAGATGAGGAGGCTCTAAGTGTGGTTCTGTTTTTCCTTGCAACTATTTTCCAATCATAAACACATTTACATCTTAGTTGTATTTAGCTAAGCACAAATACATTCTAAACTAAGCAATCCCAGGGTAACAAAACTGCATTTGAAAGAGAAAACAAGGGCAAAACTGATTTTAAGATAACTTCTAAGTGATTGTAGTGCTTGAAAGTGAGAATATAGGACCATCATCATCGCCAAAATAATTTCCCACAACTGGAACAAATGTCATCCTTCCCAACTATGTAATTTTGTTGGGAAAGGCCGAGAGAACTGAATTTTCCTCTAACAGAAACAGATTTCATGTTTTCCTTTACTCCCTTCTCCACTTAAACTTCTGACTTTTCAGATGTCAAAATAAAGGCAAGATTTTTGCCAAAATGCAAAAAGCTGTATGTATGTGTTTAAAAGCCTGGAGAATCACTGACATGAAGTTTTAACAGCAATATAGTTCCACCTCATTGGTCCATGTGACAAGTGCTTTATGAGAGGCACAGAGAGCTGCAAGCTTAGGAAACACGGCGAGGAGCTCATGATGGCACCAAACTCCCTTAGAAAGTAGCTTGCCTTGAAGCTAGAGCATGTTTTACCATGAAACCACCCTATCAATGACAGCTCTTTCTTGGGGAAGGGAGCAAGAGACTGAAGCAATTCCTTGGTGATACAGCAGGAATTGCCTGACATTCTTTCGTTTCATCTCCCTTTTTATGCCCTTTACCTATTTTTCTTTCTTCCCAGATCTTCAAAGGGTACCTGAATTATTACCTCCTGCAACCTGTCCTGACTGTAAGGCTCCAAATTACCTGCCTTTCTTGAGACAAATCTTTGCTTTCTCACTGCCTCAAAGAGGTAGGTGGTGGAAGGAGAAAAATAGTATGACCCACCTAACACCCCACACCCCATCTCTAAGAGTCCCTCTTCAGCAGCCCAGAGTTAGGATTCGTACAGAAGGAAGCATATCACCTTCCCCTACTTTTTACTCCCAAAGGAACTTCAGGGAAAAGAGAAAAATCAATTAAAAAAACCCATCTGTGTGTGTGTGTGTGTGTAATTCTTGGTCAGGAGGACAGGGACAGGCAAACAACATCCTTGCTGCTAAACTTTCTTTTCAAAGAAAGGTTTCTTTTTCCACTTCTGTACCCAAACTCTTCAGGCACTCCCAGTGAGTTGCATATTTATTGGCAGTTTCCCAGGCCAGAAATACAAGGAGACAGGCAGCAGATGGAAGTAGGCATTTTGAAGCTGGAGTCTCCTTTTAGAACAGCCAGATGCTGACACCTACCTGGAGCTGTGTCCCCTTTTCATAGCACTTGATTTCCTCTACTTCGGTCTTCTAGAGCTGGCTGGAAATGTAAAATATTCCACGGAGCATTCCAAATCTTTGCCCCTCATAAAATTACACTATTTTGCACCAAAATGTTTTGTAAATGGGAAAGAAGTTAATTATTTAGTTTCAGATTAAATATAATGATCCAGAGAGCAAACAATTCCGCCCTCTCTCCTCTCTCTGCTAACAAGCCACCCAATTTTACTTTCCTGCCTCCACCCATCTGCTCCACCCTATGGAGGGTTGCCAAGGGAGTCCGACTTGTCCAAACAGGACATGGCTTCAGATAAGATTCTGCCCACACCCTGTACTTCGGAAAGACCAAGTGAAGCAATTGATTTTGCATGTAAATAAGGACAGGTGCAAAGGTAAAGACCAAGTAAAATCCCAACACATTTCAGACTGAGGCCCAGCCAGGTAGGGGTGGGGGTGGGGAAGCCAATACCCTTTGGGTAAACTCCCAAGCTCAATGCCACCTGGTTAGTGGCATTCCACACCTTTCTTAAAGAAAAGTTTAGGTTTCACATTCCTTTTCCTTTTTTATGCTCTCTGACAATTTTGTCTTTTAGTTTTAAGGGTAAGCGACCCAAGACCATTGAAAAGAACCTGCAGTGTGTGTTCCTGCTGTGCACATCTGCCAGGTTGGCCCTCACAGTGATCCTCTGTGAAGTTATATAATCGAATCCAGAAAGGCTGCGTGAGGCCACTCTGCTTGGTGCCCTATCGCTGGAGACCCACCCCACTCCACCCTTAGGGGCCTCCACCCATGAGGCCCCACCCTGGAGGGAGTGGGAGGCTGGGAGGGGCCAGTTGGCTCGAGTCAGCTGCCAGTTCCTGGAAATTCCGGCCTGAGCAGGGATGGCTGGAACCTTAAAAATAACCAGCAAGAACTGTCAGGGTGGCGGCCCTTCCAGGACCCCGGAGAATTCTGCATTAAAAGTTTATCTCATAGAACCACTGAACTCTCGGATATGAAACCATGAGCTAATATTGCCCTTGCCCTTCAAAAGTAAACAGAAAGAAACAGAAAAGGGGTCTGAAAAAATCCAACATGTTCCAAACCCAAATCCTTCTCCTCCTAGCTTCTGCCTGGAAAAGGCTGCCTGCCCCACCTTCCACTTGCCTTATTTTCAGGTCATTCACCATAGAAACCTCAGGGTTTCCTTTAAGCCTTCCTCTCCAAAACTCCCTACCAGTTTGAATCTTGCCATGAGGGGCCAGCCTCTGTGTACCCCTGGAAACTGTTATTGGGGGTTTATCCTCCAGGGTCTCTCCACTCCTAGGGCCTTGGCCCTTTCAATCGGTCCAAAGCCTCCTGCCACCTACATTTCTCAGAGTCCTCAATGAGACTTCCCCCAGCTGACTCCAACTGGAGTCCAAAGGGTCCTCAGGACTCAGAGTGGGTTCAAGGGCCCACACTCCGCACCCTTTCCTAGCCAGCTGCTCCTTGCTCCAACAAGCGCCCTTCATGCTGGCTGCCCCTCCCCCCATGCCTTTGTTCATTTTTGGCCCTGATGCTGGGCAACCAGCATGGAATGCCCCGTCCCCTTCCGGCTTATCTAAATCCTCCTAATTCTTCAAAGATCAGCTCAAGGCCCTCCCTACTCTGCACCCGGATGATTGTGCCCTGGTCTACCTAGGCCTCCTCTTCTTACCTAGATAGGCTGTGTCTCTTAATGGCTTGTCTCTGACCTGACCTCAAGGAGGGGAGTGTCTTACACTCCCTTAGAGGCCTCCCTTCCCACTCCCCAAAGATCAGGCTGTTCACCAAATGACTATTAAGTTTAGGCACAAAGAGGGATATGAGAGTACTTGGCCCACAGTAGGTGTTGTGCAGCCTTCTCCACTTTCCTTCGAATACATTTGAAATCTCTCTTCATAACGAGGGTGAGGACTCCCTCACTCAAAAGAAAATCTATTAAGCTTTCCTCAAAAAAAAAAAAAAAAAAAGTTCTTAGCTTTAACCTTACCTGCATGAGTCCTTCAGGAAACATATCAGTTTCATCCTCAAAGAATTTTTTTATTACCTACCTAGAGATATCTTCTAAACAAGTCTAGTGTCAAGCTCTCTACTGTTTGAAAATTGAAAATAAGGAAAGAGAGAAACAATTGTATAAGCAGAGAGTGTGTGTGTGTGTGTGTGTGTGTAATACTGGGCTTACTATTTTGAAGGCTCCTGCTATCCTTGCTATACTTGCCAAGGGCCAAGTGACAAATTCCTGCTGATCTCCACCACCTTCATGACTGCTGATCACCAGGTGTGGTTCTTTACATGGACTGTGTCATTTAATGCCTATGAGATGGATACGACCTTCCCATTTTACTGATGAGAACAATGGAGCCGAGAGGTAAAGCAATCTGCCTGAGATCACACAGCTGCTGAGTTGTGGAGTCAGTACTGGAAGCCAAAGTAGTCTGACTTCAAGGCTGGTGGACTTGACACCCCACTCCACCACCTCCCCAGGCAGAGGACAACATCACACTACAAACAGCAATAGTGGGATGGCAATTTCTGTGAACTGATCTCTCCCTGGAGGCTATGGATTGCAGCAGGAACAGTGTATTTACAGTAGCAGCGATTTCAACTCCCAACTGGCCCCTGCTGCCTACAGTCTCCCTTTGCCTGCACGCTTGGACACAAGATCAAAGGACTCGTTCTAAAGGCCCCAAATTAGGTTATTATTCTTCATAGCAAATGCACCTGCAATTGGTCCATAAAACTGCTGAGAAAAATTGGCAGCTTTACCCAAGCAAATACGGAAATCCTCATAATAACTGTACAAAGGTGGAAGGGTCAGGTCCTCATCCCCATTTTAGAAATGAGGAAATGGAGGAACAGAGGTGAAATGACTCGCCCAAATTCGCAGAGTTGGTTGGCGTTGTCGCCAAGAACAGAAGTGTGTCTGCCTGCAGACCAGGAGCTCCTTCTGTTCTGCTTCTGAGTCTGAGCTGTGGGAACGACCTGGAAGGAAAATCATCCCATCCTGGGGTCACTCCCCCAGTAGGGAGGGGGCAGCGGTGGGCGGTGCCAGGAGGTGGTTCCACTGGGCAATTAAGATTTCAAAATGCCTTTTCAGGTTAGACCACTTGGGCCCTACTCCATCCTGTGGCCTAAGTGGGAATATTAACTGCACATAATTTGAGATTAGTGCTAATGAGTAGGTGCTCAATAAATACTTGTGAGATGAATAAATGAATGGCTGTCAAAAGATACTTCTCACGTGCCAGGACAAAGTAAAGGACAAGGCTAAATAAAGGGCCAGGGGCCAGGCATGATTGTATACCAAGATTTGCACAAGGAAAATCTACCCAGGGCACAGGGAAGCTAGCCTGAAACCTTCTAAAACCTAAAATGCGAAGTAAATGGGAAAATTTTGGGAGGCTTTGGGGAGAAAAACTCCCTTTGTTTGGAGAACTAAGGGGAACAGGAACCTAAACGGACTAATGAAAGTAGTTCTGGGGTGTAAAGTTTTGGCAGGTACCAGACTGCAAAGTGCAAGAACAGATAAAGGAGTGGATTTCAGTGATTAGCCTCAAAGAACAGTAGTTAGTAGAAAAAACAGCATATAGGTCAAAGGAGAAAAAAACCGACACTTGATTCACAGGTCGCTCTCCAGGGTAGAATGTACTGACCTCAATGTCCACTTGAGCTCTCATGTCTAGATTTGGCCAAACTCCACTGATCTGGTTTGAGACTAGCTCTGGGCCATCCCTGGAGACCCAGGGGCCTTTCAGAGATGGCAACCTTCTCCAGCAGCTCTCAGGTTAAGCAGAGCTCTGCAGGGGCTTGCTGGGAGGGGGCTGTCTTGGGATGCACCCTTTCCTGGAGATCAGGTCAGAGGTAGACCCTGAAGGGCCTGGCTGAAGGACCACTTTACTTGCCTACATTCTGCCTATGGTTCCCCTTAGTAATTAGATGGGGGAAATGATAATGTATTCAGCCTGCCAACACAATGGAGTGAGTTTCAAAAAGCTCCAGGAACCTGTTTTGCTAGAGAAATTTACTATTAAACTCTCTGACCCAGGGATACAAATACACTGATAATTTTTTAATATTCTATTGAACTACAGAGATATTCCTCACAAAGGCAGATATTCCTCAGAAAGACAGTGGAAAGGCACACACATACATGGGCACACACACGCACACACACACACAACTTTGGGAGGAAACAGTCCTAGTTCTGGTTCAGAGACTGTAGCAATGTCTCTTTTATTACTACTAAATTTCAAGGAAAGAGGAGTTGAGGGGTGGGGGAAAGCCAGGCTACCTCCTTTAGACAATGCTGTCCCTTATCAGGGCAGACTGCTGTCTGGTTTCCTGTCTCGAGCTCTGGCATGACTGCTTAAGATGAGAAATGGGGGTTTAAGAAAAGGGACAGATCAGACTTGAAAATGAGAATACCCAAGACCCATTACAACCCTTCTCTTCCACACCACTGCAAGATGGATTTGGACTATCTAGCAAAGTAGATAGCAACTGTCTTAAGACTCTAGGGATTTTTTTTTTTTTTAAGTTAATACCAATGACAGTGAAGCACTTTAGAAAGAAGCCCAATTTCCAGAATATAATTCCTATTATCTAAAGGATGAAGTTGTTTGCATTTATTATCATGTTTTTCTTCAACGTGGCTGGGGGTGAAAAGAGAAAGTAAGAAATACCACCAAAAAACCCTATTTTATAGCAGAAATGTTGATTTGGAAATATTAAGAAGCTAAAGAACACAGGGAGACAAAATGGGGTTGAATTAGGAATTGTGATTTGCATGGTCAAGAGATGAAACTCTTATTGTCATTTAGTTTTGTAATTATAGTAACTACCAGACTGGTATAATTTTTCCCAGTTGTTCAATTCAGTATTTAAAAGCTTGAAGAATTTTTTTTTCCTGATAGAATACATTAAACTATAATCATCTCTATTAACTACTTCCCTCACCCCCCCAAAAAAAGGAGGAAAAAATGATTTGGGGGAAGGCAAATACTTTAGTCTACCAAATTTGGCTGGATTGTTAACATCTTTGAAACTAAAACAAACAACTTGCTTCATTTTGGGTTACTTATACATTTTAGTTAAAAGGCTTCTTGTCCTACAAGTCAACTTAATATTTCAAGTTCATGTCCCCCAAAGGAGAAAGAAAAATCTTATTGAAACTTTTAAAAGCTCTTTTTTTTCAACAAAGGCTATCAGTAACCTACTAGTTTATCCTAGAAACTTTCTTAACATCATAGTTTATTTCCCTTTTGCACATATAGAAAGAATGTGGTGGGATGTGAAATTAAAACCAAATATCTATCATCAAACTTTGGAAGGGTAATAAGGCCTGGTCTGCTGCCTCAGCCACTCTTGCAATTTATTCTACTAGCAAATATTGTAAATGATCCCTTTAGATTTTAAAGAAAATCCAACAACAAGTTTAAAAAGGAAACCTGCAGAAACTCTCTTTTTTAACCATTACTTTAAAACTTACTTTCTGAAGACCCAAATGAAAATTCATTTGTTAAAGTAGGTCTCACTCAGAAATTCATTAACTCACAGCTGACAGAATATTTAAAAAATGAGATTGTGAAAAAGTTGCTATTGTAAAACAATAAGCAAGAGCATTCTCCTCTTGTTTTCAAAACACAGTAAAATTTTTCCAAGCTGTCATTAAATGAATTTATTCCCAGTTCTTTTGAGCTTTTTATTCCTAAACAGTGGAAATAGCTGTAGATTACAGTAAAACTGTTGTCCTTAGAAAAAGTATCGTAGTATTTTAACCTTTGCCTTTAAAAAGAAATAATCCTGGGATTTTCTAAATGCATCCTACATTTTGCTTCAGTACTTTTTCTGAAGATTTTTTTCCTTAAAACATAAGCAAGACTTTCAAGTCAGCTCAGGCTGCCAGGTCTGCAAGCATTCGCCATCCAATGAAGTCTCCTAGGCTTTGAGTGTCAGTGCTAAATGTGAACAAGGGGTTTGGAGGGGGAGGGGGAGAGAGGTCCAGATCTTGCAGTAATGAGACTGCTTCTAAACTCTAATACAGTGATCCTGACCCAAAATTGTCGACTTCAGGTGAAAATGCCTATCCTCAAACACCCTACCCACCTTCAAAGAATGAAAAACAAACAAAAACAAGCTCCTTTGGATTTCTAGCCAATATGCAGAGAAATTGCTTAAAATTAGTGTGGCGATGAAAAATTTAAAAAGGTAAAAGTATTTATCTACCCATATAAACACACTGGAGCAAAGGGTGCATGTAAAAAGGTTAACTGACTTCTCATTATGACATAACACAGGCATCTTAAGCAATTTTAAGTGTGTAAAGACATGATAACTCCCTGGGTGGGGAGAGGGAGTTTAGGGGCAGGGACCATGGCCTGGTCTGGGCTACTGATCTACCAGAAAACAGCCTGAAACAGGAAAGAGCACACATATGCCACTTGGAATGTATGACGCAAACCCCAGCCTTGAAACAAAGAACAGGAAACAGCTCTGCTGGCTGTGCTGGAGAGAAAGCACAGAGAAACATTTAGCCGGCCCTCCCTGAACCCTATATTCATGAGCAGCTGGAGTTTTTTAAGACAACAACAGGGGGGTGGAGGTGTTTGTTCTAGGGGTGTGAATAATAACACTAGCTTTATACCGGGGACCTGCCCTATTTACAAATAGGAGCTTCCACATATAGTAAACATCATAAGTGAACATGGGATTTTATCATATTCAAGCAGCAGAAACCTTCCTAATTACCGCCAGCCGCTCCTCTGGTTTCTTTTGTCTCTTTCTCCTCATCCCTGTGGCTGGTCTCTAGCTATGATCAAATTCTGGGTTAGGGTAAAGATTATTGCTGACCCTCAGAGCATGATGAGGAAAATGAGGACAGAGCACTGCTGCTAAGAATTCGGATGACAATTCGTTGATTCCACAAAACTCAAAATTGGACTGATTTTAAGTGACCCTTAGTGGCAGAACTAAATTCCAATGACACAGACTCTGACACAGCTAAAGTCACCCCAAATGTTCAGTCTTTTTCAATTGCATAGTTAAAAACATACTTGCACAGTTGCACATCTGTTCTGCAAGTACCCACAGCAATAGAAATTCACCTTCGCAGAATGGGATTCTATTCCTGACATTCATTTTATTTCAAAACTCTACAATCTGTATAACAGAGTATCATTTTTATGAGATATTCAAAGTATTCCTTTAAGGTATTTTTTAAGATAAAAAAAATCCATTCATAGCTCTTTTCCCAGGATTTCTCTTTATTTTGTTAACTAAGGCTGTTTAACTCAGGTTTCCATTATCAGAGATTTAAGAAACTGTGTAGCTGTAACTACAGGTAAAAAATAAATAAATAAAAATAAAAACTAACCAACCCCCCCCCCAACAGCATCACTGTGTCCATAGCAACCAGAAGATTGGGTTTTAATTTAGAAACTTTGCAGTGAAAGAAAAAGAAAACAAAAACAATTGCCTTCTCCAAAGCTATTTGCTATGTTTTATATCTGACAAGGTTTTGCCTAAGCAGATACTTTTGTTATTCTCAAATTAGGATTTTTATGCTTGCATTATCCTTGCAAGCCAAATGCTGCTTTTAGCACTGTGTTCATTGAACTTATCAAGAGCACATTAGGTTTTCTTCTTCTAATAATGCTATGTCTGAAAGCCAACCCCACTGACTGCAGGAAGGGCTATATCTGTTCTCCAGGGAGTTTAAATTAATCAAACATCTCATTTCAAGTTTTCTGTTAACAGCCTAAGGTCAACTAACATACACCATGTTTCAAGCCAGTAGAAACTCATTCTTCCATTCCCTCTTTAAAAAAAAATACTACTAATTTTAAAAATTTGGGAGATGTTAAAGCTATCCGATTGCTTTTCCCTAGGAGCAAGTCTTCCCTCTGGTTAGGCATACTATCATCCAGATGGATTTCTCTTATAAAAATGCTCCTCAAACATAACAGCACTAGGAAAAGGACAGCACAAAATTGTGGAAAAACCCACGGCGAACAAATGCCCTATTCCCCACTTGATTTTGCTTACAAATGACGAGTCTCTATGAACTCGGAATTCCACTTCATACATGCCCCATGTACCAGAGTCCTGTGATAATAGGATTAATTTATTTTCGAGTGTCTTGGGCGATACTAATAGAAAAAATACATGGAGTACAAAAATTTCGTGCAAAATGTTTATTTTAGGGAAACACAAGAGGTGAGCCATTTCCAATTTCTGTTTACCCTGACTTACTAAGTCGCATTCGCACATTCTTCATCTGGTGTGACTGCACACTGCTTCTTACAAAATGTAAAAGCATAAAGAGCGTTCCCCTGCTCTCCGCCAAAGAACAGCTACGACAATTCCAGGCATTATCTGCCACCTCCCGGAAAGGACACTCTGAAACCTTAGGTAAGTCCCGCGGGTCCGGGTCCAGGGGATCCGTCTCTGGGGCCCCCACCTGCCTCTGGTCCCTAACGCCGCAGGCAGTTGCCTAAGGCGCTCTCCGCCTCCAGCCACGCTGCAATCCCGTTCCAGGCACTGCGGCAGGTTCTCTCTGTGCCCCCAGGAGGACGCTCCAAACCTGGCCAGCTCTTCCCTCCTGCCCCCGAGGATCCAGACGCCCCGGCAGCTGCGGGGCTCCAGGGCCGAGAAGGGGATGTTGTCTCCAGTCCCAATTGCCCCAAGTTTCTTCCCAGAGGGCCCGGGAAGCTGCTCCAAGTTTGCTCCAGCGGGCGAGTGGCCGCGCGCCCCGTTCCAGAAGGGGGGCGGCGGGGGTGGGTGGGGGTGGGCGCAGGCGGAGAGCCGGGGGGGAGGGCGGCGCAGGGGGGAGGGGGGAGTGGGGAGTCAGGAGGGGGAGGAGCAGGAGCGCTCGGCCCCGGCGCTACCTTTCTCCAAACAACGCTGCCCCACGCGGAGAGCCCTGAGATTTCTGGGGCTTTGGAGGGAATCGCGAGCGAGCAGGCGGGCGGGAGGGCGGCGGCTGGGGGACCACACAGGTGAGCCCCCGCCTGCGCCCTAGCCAGGGCCGCGGCGGGCGCTCCCGGCCTCGCTCTCTTCCCGCACCCCCCGGGATTCGCACGGGGGTTCCCCCATCCAGCACTTTCAGCCACTGAACCCGGGGTGCCCCCTCCCCTCGCCTCTCTGCCCCCACCCCCGGCTGCGGGGAGCTGTTGCACTTTCCCAAGCCCCCAGGCGCCCCCACCCCCGCGCTGCACCCCCCAACCTATCCACTGCGTGCCCCCCTTGGAAAAAATGAAACCGGACCAGCGGAAAAGGGGGGCAGCAGGAGTCGGGCGAGAAAGGTGAGGGCGAGGAGACTTACTTTTGGAGGCGCGGCGCTGGGCGCTGCAGAGCAGAAATAAAGTCCCGGATCCGGGCTCCTCGCGTCCCGAGGATGCAGAAATGTCAGCGCTCGGGTCCGGGCGGCGCCGGCCGCGGGGCGCGGGGCGCGGGCGCGGGCGCGGGGGCCGGTGCGGGGCCGGGCGCGCGTGCGGCGGGCGCGGGGCGCGGGGCGGCGGGTGGGCGCTCGGCTGCGCTCCGGCTGGGCCCGGCTCCGCGCGGCTCCGCTCCTGGCTCCTGGCACCAACTCCGGGCAGTCACATGACGCCGGCGCCGCTCGCTCTGCGAGCCGCCCGGGGCTGGCGGGGTAAGTAGAGGCTGGGACCCGGGGTGGGAGGGTCAGGGAGGGAGAGGGAGCCGCCGCGGCCGCCCGGGCTGGGCGCGTCCCCACCCACTGGGTGGAGGCAGCCGCCGGAGGGGTCGGCCGAGTCACTCGCGCAAACACGCACCCCGCCCTGCGCCCTTCCCCCGCCGCCCCCGCCTCCCGCGCCGCCCGCGCCCGCCCCGCCCAGTCACCCGGGGCCGGCCCGACAGACACTCATTATTCCCCGGAGCGGGCGCCGCCCCGCCGGCCCGACCTGTCCCGCGAGGCGCGGCGCGGCCGTGGGGCTGGGCGTGCGCGCGCGGCCCCCGCCCGGGCCCCCGCCCCGCGCCCCCGCCCGGCCCGGCCCGGCGCGCCCGCCCCGCGCCCCCGCCCCGGAGCCCCCGCCCGCGCCCCCACCCCCGGCGCCCTCCGCCCGGGCCCGCCCCGCCCGCCCCGCCCGGCCGGCCCCGCCGCCTCGCCGCCGCCCGAGCCCGGGGGAAGGAAGGGCGGAGCTGCCCGCTCCGGGCGTCGCCGGGTGCAGCCCGCTGCGCCGCGTCCAAAACACACAGCCCGGCGCGCGGGCGAGCCGGGGCGGGGACCCGCGGGCCGGGCCATCCATCAGCCGCTCCGGCGGGAGGGCGGCCCCGGGCGCGGCGCGCAGGGCTGGGCCCCGCGGCCGGCCCGGCCCCTCCTGCGCCGCGCGCGTCCGAGGCTCCTGCAGAAAAGCCGGGAGAAGGCACCGGCCGTGCGGGAGCGCGTGCGGCGGGCGCGGCGGGCGGGAGGGGCCGGGGTGGGGACCCCAGCCCTGAGCTGGCCCCCGGTGGCCGAGGTCACTCGACACCCCGCGAGCGCGCGCTTTCTTTGTACCCGGGGGCGCCGGGGGCGCCCGCCTGGCCGGGGGCGGGCGGCCACGGGCGCCCCCGCCTCCTGGGACGCTTCTGCAAGGTCGGGACCCCCAAAGCAAACTTCCCACGGGCTGGGCCCGCCGCTGCAGCGAGAAGGGGGTCGGTAGCTGCGACAATGGCTCGCGCGGGCCTGCCTGAAAACTTGGCAAACTTGGGTCCGGAGCCTCCCCGCCGGGGGAGAGCTGGAGGCGAGCTGAGGGCTTGGCCTGACGACCTTTTCCTTTCTCGTCCCTTCGCTGGGACCCGGCGCGAGCGGGCTCCGAGGCCCGAGCCGGCGGCTGAAACGCTCGTTTGGCCCAAGCCAGGCCGCTCGGAGGACTCTGTGTAGCTTGGTACCCGAGTTTAATGCTTTTTTGAGTTTCTTTTTAAACAGTATTAATGCAATAAAGAATGCAATAAAAAGAACAAAGGACAAATTGGTTCGATTGTTTTAGTCCTGTGTAATGTTTAAAAACGCCCTTGCTTCAGTCTATGCCTCGTTATTGCTTCAAGATGTTTTAAAGGCCCTTTAAGTTCACTCTTCTCACTTTGATGCTTCATTCTGGCATGGGGGAACTTAAAAGGTCGTGATATAGTGTTTGCTGAGACCCGACATGGAGCTTAGGCAGTGTTATAAAATTAGTACCGGGTAACCTCAAGTAGTGAATTACATATTGTAAAAAAGGCCGGTACATAAAAGACCACGTGGAGAACACCCAGAAATGGAACTTCTGCTTGTGCCACCCTGTTGTCCCGCAAGGTTAAACCTGAAAATGTTAAAGAATGAAAGGGTTTTTGTTTTTTTGTTTTTTTTTTTTTAGTGAATTAAAGAGAAATGCAAGGGAAAAAAAAGAGAAATGCAAGACAAAAGTTGACTCCTTATCTCTTGCCAATTGTAATTCACTGATGACTGACATCATTAAATGTCTGATGGGACACCTTCGATTTGTATTCACTGGAAAACAGCGTTAGGGATGACCGATGGAATTATTTGCATTCTATGCCTGGCTGGTAGTAGGTTGCAAAAATACAGACTTCGCTCCAGGGACACAGAAGGATGACAACCTAAGCACATACATGGTATTTTTTACATTGTTCTATGGGTGTGGACCCAAAGAAAAGTGAAAAAGGTCTATCTGAAAAAAAGTGTGATTGAAGATAAGAAGGGAGTGGTTTTGATAGGAAAGGTGGGGGAGGGAGAAGAAAGTCATAAAATAGGTTAATTAATGAACACTCTGTTCAGTGCCCTGTGGAAGGCAACTCTAACACAACTTGTGCAAAAATGAATCGGTCCAGTGAAGGACATCAGCATTGTCTGGATGCCCAAACCAGAAGTACCTGGAGTCAACTTTGACTCCTCCTGCTCCCTGGCTGTTCATAGCTGCCCATGGCTCAGGAATCCTAGACTTCATCAGTTACTACCCACTCCTTGGTCACTACCTTGGTCTGGCCTATTGCCTCAGTGTCCTGTAGGCATCATGGTTAAAGATGGCAAAGGGATCGGAGCAAAGGAAGAAGAATGCCTTTTTTTAAATGCAGACCTAAATGCATCAGTCCCTTCAGTGACTTCCTCTGGATCAAGTCCAAGGTTTGTGCTGCCTCCACCTGTCACTATAGACTCATCTCTCCCCCTGCTCCCCTCCCATTCTCTTCTCTGGCAGCACTGAGCTTCTTTCCTTTTCTATCCCCCTCCAACTTACTCTCCTGACCTCTAGCCCTTAGTACACACTCATTTTGCTAGGTCGTCTAGCCTTCTTTCCCCTAATTCTTGATCTTTATTCTCATGGCTTTACATTCTATTGATCTTTGAATCTTGACTTAAATGATACTTTTTCCAAATATATCTTATCTTACCAGCATTCCTCTCCCACCCTTGGATAAGTGAAGGTGTTCCCCTTTGGGTTTCTGATAGCATTTGTGCTTTATTCTTTCTTGTAACTGATTATTTAACTGTCTGTGGCACTGAAATAGAAGCTCTGTGGAACATGGACCTTGTCTTTTCAGCAAAATCGTATCCCCAGGGTCCAAATGTTCAATGACTATTTGTAAGGTGAATAAATTCAAGGTGAATTGAGAAGGAGAAATGGTTTACAGGCAAAGAGATGAGAGCAGGAATCTGGATGACTTAGTGGTGATGACCGTGCCTTGGAAATATTGAAGAGGAGGAAAGAGGAAATTTCCTTCACTGAATGTTTTTAAACAGTGAGATGATCAAGGTAGAGACCATGTTTTTAAACCTGAACACTAACATAGCACCTGGCACGCGCTTTAGTGATCAGGAAATCCCAGATAAATGCACCATCTCCAACCTGGGCCTTATGGTAGCTGCTCACTCAGGTTTAGGTTTGGAGCAGCATCTGCTCCAGGAAGGACACCTCTCCCTGGCTCCAGCAGAACTTTATTGCTTTCAGCCAATCTGCAGTCGATCTCTCTTGTCAGTGATTATTGACTGAAGAGTATATGTGACCTAATTCTGCCAGTGGGACCTGAAGAGGAGTGTGCTGGGGCTTATGGGAGGTATTTTTCTTCCTGAGGCGAGGAAACTCTTAACCCCCCAGGTCTGCTTTGGAAGTTGAAATGTGAGGATGTGACACTTGGAGCTATGGCAACTAACTTATAACCTTGAGGAGAATGCCAAGGGTCTAGATTTCATTAGAGACAGCAGTTTTCTCATCATTAGTTTTCAACTTCAATGTTACCTTTTCAAGAATGACTTTCTTCACCATACAATCTAAAATATCCCTCTACTCCTCATTCACTGTCTACTCGACCCATTTTACTTTCTTCTGAAATGTATCCTTAACCAAAGTTACTTTTAGTTTTTGGTTAGTTTGTTACTTCTTTTCCACATTAGGACCTTGCCTGTTTCCATAAGGGCAGGGACCTTGTCCTCTTCAAGCCTTTCCCCACAAACTCCTGAAACAGTGTCTGGCCAATATAAAGTGTTGCACCAGTATTTGTTGACTAGTGGAAGGCAACGATGACACCATGTTGAGACTGATTCGGGGCACAGAGAACACAAGCAACTCTGAACCCCCATTTTCTCTTTGTGGCTTCTTTCACAGTTCAATTTCAGGAGATCACTTTCTGATACACAGATCCATATGCTGGAGATTCCTTCCTTAATCTTTTTCAGTTTTCCTGTTTCTTCCCCAGGAAAATTTATTCTCTTCATTGGATGATGGGCCAAGTTATGAAGGCAGAAAAGTGTCAAGTAGGGCCCACCCTG